TGTCTATGTATAAATAGTCAATGAGTTTGTTACCCCTCACGTGGATGCACTGAGCAGGCTAGATACTGAGCCATGGGGAGCAGAAAAGAAGTACCAAAATATTGCCAAAGCCTTGAGAATGCCAGTCAGTACTGTTCAATCACTTATTAGCCAAGTTCAGGTAGACCAAGAAAGATTTCAGCCACAACTGAAGCCAGAAGAATTGTTCAGGATACAAAGAAAAATCCACAGGTAACTTCAGGAGAAATACAGGCTGTTCTGGAAAAAGACTGTGTGGTTGTTTCAAGCAGCACAATATGATGATACTTGAACAATAATGAGCTGCATGGTGGACAGAAAGAAGCCTTTACCGTGCCAATGCCACAAAAAAAGCCAGGTAATAATATGCCCGACAACACCTTGACAAACCTCACAGCTTCTGACACACTATAATTTGGAGTGACAGGACCAAAATAGAGCGTTATGGTCCCAACCACAAGTGTTATATTTGGAGAGGGATCCGCAAAACCTATAGTGAAAAGAATTTCATCCCTACTGTGAAGCATGGAGGTAGCTCACTAATGTTTTGGGGGGTGTAAGCTCTAAAGGCACAAGGAATCTTGTGAAAATTAATGGCAAGATGAATGCAACATGTTATCAGAAAATACTGGCAGAATATTTGCATTCTTCTGCACGAAGGCTGTTCATGGGACGCTCTTTGACTTTCCAGCATGAAAATGAACCTAAGCACAAGGCCAAGCTGACTCTCCTGTGGTTACAGCAGAAAAAGGTTCTGGAGTGGCCATCACAGTCTCCTGACCTAATTATCAGTCTGGGGAGATCTAGAACGTGAGGTTTATGCAAGACGACCAGGGCCGGCGCTACCATAAGGTGACACAAGCGGCCGCCTTAGGGCGCACCGACCCGAGGGGTGCAAAAATGGCTGAGTGACTGGCAGGAGCACAGAGAGCTCCACTCCTAACGGTCACTTTCTGCAGCAATTTACGAAAACGTGCAACCACTGAGGGAAGGGGGCATAGCAGCGAGGAGCAACCGTGGCCAATCTCTTCCTGAGCTACAGGCCGCTGGGATACGTGACATCATATCCCAGCAGCCAACTGCTGTGGAGAGAGAAGGAAAGCTACAACAGTGCAGCGGGACCTCTGTTTAGCAACTATAAGAAACAGTAAGTCTGTGTGTGTGTGTGTAAGAGCTAGTGTGTGTGCCTGTGTGTGTTAGAGTCAGTGTGTGTATGTAAGAGTTAGTGTGTGTGTGTGTGTGTGTTAGAGCCAGTGTGTGTGTGTGTGTGTGTGTGTGTGTGTAAGAGTTAGTGTGTGTGTGTGTGTGTGTCTGTAAGCTGTGTGTAAGAGATTATGTGTGTGTAAAGCAGTATGTGTGTGAGAGTGTGTGTGTTACAGCCAGTGAGTGTGTATAAGCAGTGTGTGTAAGAGACTGTGTGTGTGTGTGTCTGTTAGAGCCAGTGAGTGTGTATAAGCAGTGCAAGTGTGTAAGAGATTGTGTGAGTTAGAGCCAGTGAGTGTTTATAAGCAGTGTGTGTGTGTGTAAGAGACTGTGTATGTATAAGAGTCAGTGTGTGTGTGTGTGTGTGTATAAGCAGTGTGTGACCGTTACACACACACACACTGACCATTACACACACACTGCTTATACACACACACACACACTGACCATTACACAGTGTGTGTGTGTGTGTGTGTGGGTATGAGCGAGTGAGTGTGTGACGCAAGGGAGTAAAGAAAAGTAGGATGAAGACACAAAAACATTTAAAAAAAAGGCAAACAAGAGATGCAATATACAAAGAGGGAAAACGAGAGAAAAAGGTGGTAAGATGCACAAAAGGGGCAAAAAAAATGGGTATATTAGACAGACAGGTGAAGACAAATTTTTGGGGCAGCAAAATGTGTCTTCGCCTGTGTAGACAGAAGTCCTTGCACTGGCCCTGAAGACGACCAAAGACTTTGCATGACCTGGAGGCATTTTTACAAGATGAATGGGCAGCTATACCACCTGCAAGAAATAGGGGACTCATAGACAACGATTACAAAAGTCTGCACGCTGTCATTGAAGCTAAAGGGGGCAATACACAGTATTAAGAACTAAGGGTATGCAGACTTTTGAACAGGGATCACTTCATTTTTTTCTTTGTTGCCATGTTTTGTTTTATGATTGTGCCATTCTGTTATATCCCACAGTTGAATATTGATCCCAAATAAAAGAAATGTGATTTGCCTGCTCAATCATGTTTTCTTTAAAAATGGTACATATATTACCAATTTTCCAAGGGAATGCAAACTTTGGAGCACAACTGTATAGTATAAAAATATATAAATACAGATTTTTTTACAGCTCCTCATTTTTTCCCTCTCTATTAATCACATCTCACTTGAGTAAAATTCACATTTAGTGGCTGTCTTAGTAGCTACGAATCATCTTTTTTTCTATCAAACAATTTTTTATTTTTTTTGCTTTCTGATACATCCATATTTGCCATTTTCGAGTTCAGAATTTTGGATTAGTCGCCGATCGTTTAAAATTCTGACAGATTGTGATACAGGAACAGCTGAATGCACAAGACTAGTTCACATTATTGGCATTATAGACCCGGTATCCAGATTTATAGTTCCCTTTACAAACATTAGAAAGCCACGGGAACCAAACAATATATATTATTCCCAAGCAATGTTTTCGAATATACATGTATAGTACCAAATAAAGTGGAATTAAAAGTCAATTTAATCTCAAACACTTACAAATGCATTGGCTACATTGAAGTCCATGGAGGCACTTCAATTCAATGCACCTAAGTGCAGGTAAAATGTTTTGTGCTTGGTATTTTCTCTTGTCCCACAGCATTCAGTATATAATCTAGTTCAGCTTCATCTCGCTCCCAGAAGATGAATCCACCTACCGACCATTCTCTCCAACTGACTAAATTTAATTTTTAAAAAGGGCGTGAGAGTTTTGGAGGAATTGTTTCCTCCAAAATAGGAACCCCAAGCTTTCTAAAAACTACTATTACAACCACACCCTCCCCAATGATATATTCCCAATATGTAACCATTATTAGTCCCTATCACCCAATCTCTCTAAGTCCTATTCCTAGGACCAAAATAATTCCCTTCCCTTCTGGTTCAGGTGTGTTCTAGATGTGGTAACATCTAATCTAAATTGTCAGTTTAGTCAGAAATTCAAACTATTTTATGTAAATAAAGTATTGAAGTACTATGAAATGTGTACCAGTAGTATTCAGGTTCTTGTTTAGATTTAATTCATTAGATTTAAAGCTTTTTTTTGTAAAACTTAGATTGTAATCTTGTTTTGCGGGCCCACTTCACCTACTGTTCAAATATGTCATACATGTTTTGTTAAAATTAAATGTTGGTCTAATTTCCTATGTTACAATTTTTGTTTAATGGTGTATTAACAGAAGCACCATCTATCATCTTCACATAATAATCCCATTTAGTTTTGGAAAGGATTAGCTGTGGAATGTTGAATGTTTCCATTTGGAAATATGTGGAAGTTCCAACTCTCCTGGACATGACATGTATTTTAATGTCCAAGGGACAACAAAGAACTGGATCATCAAATTGTTCACTCCATTTCTAGCTACCTGTCCTGCCTGATCTCTCCCTGTCCTGTTAAAGTGTGTTGCCCATAGAAAAGATGTGTAACTTCTTTCTAGAGAATGAGCACACACTGTGAGGAGGCATCCACACAGAAGCTCATTGAAGTCAGGACAGGACAATAAATCAAGTAAGCTTATCTCTTGCCTAGCTAACACTAATAACTTAACACTGTCTTCTAAACAATGGGAAAACCTTGCATCTCCCTTACAATCACTAAAAACAGTAAACTTACCACTTATTAAAATAACAGATAATTACAAGTCTGATTCCTTTTCCTATTTTTTTTTTTTAATCACCATCTATTCATAAAACATTTCCCTTTTCCCTTCTTAACTTTCTAATGTATTTTCAATTACCCTTTCAGTGTTACAGGAATCACCAAATTTTACCAAACCCCATGAGTGTATGTGTTTATACCAGAGTCATTTGCGAAAGCACTGATTCTAATCCAGACACCAAATACATCCAGACAATTGCTGCAGATTCTCTCTAGCAGACCAAATTTCGAACCGAATTAGCTTTAGAAAATATGAGAATTGCGGTCTTTACTGAATAACCCTGTCCATGTTTGTAGGAACATATGCATATGTAAATAATTATTTTGACTTGTTATGTTGGTGTGCGTGTCTCTGTAATTATATGTAAAGGTTAATAAATACACATATCATTGATATATAATACTGTATCCATTTTATTTGCAGGGCTTGGTCAAAAGTGGTGATTGCTATGGGACCGGAGAAAAATAAAAATAAATAAATGCACTTATAATTTACCTTTTAATTGCTAGGGATGAAAACTACAGTGGATACATATATGTGAACCCTTTTAGTCTCAGGGGTTGGAAAAATGTGGTGCTTTAAGAGGTTAATTGAAAACATAGTGTATAGTGAAAATCTATTGAAGAAGGGAAATGTTCTGTTATTTGAAATATGGTAAATATGCTGTTTAATGATTTCATGGGACATTAAAGAATGCCCTGCTTGTTAAATGGAAACATGGTTAAGGTTTAGTTTTAGCAGGGCACTAGATAAGCACAGTTGATTTATTGACCAGTTGGGACTTCAATAAACCTGCCTCCCCACAGGAGTGAGTGTGTAAGGTAACACATCTCTATGGGTAACACATTTTACACAGCACCCGCTGACACCTCGTCCTTCTCGCACTGCTTGTGTACCCTTGATCTTGGATGACTACCTGCTCTGCCGCCCCCTAATGACCAGCGAGTGGAACACACTCTGACACTAAAGCTTAGCTTGCTCTCATCCTAGTTCAGTTGAGCACCGTGTGTTCTGAGCCCTGAGCTGCTGCTGCTGCTTCTGCTACTATTGCAGCTTTTACTCACTAAGCTGTGTTTAACCTGCTCTTTGCACCTGTTACCCTGGAAGTTACACACCCAGCACTTTGTTTGATTTGATGGATTGCCTTGTGAGAAGATGGATTTAGCTGGTTAACAACTGCATTAGCAAGCCACACCGAGTTTCTGATCGCAGATCCAGCAAGTGGGAGATAGTCCTGCAAAATGTGACCGTTGCACCTCGCCAGGTACCCATCGGGGTAACACAGGATAATCCATTTGGAATATTCACAAAGAATGGAGAGCCAGCTACAAGTGCTGTTATTGTCCAGGTAATGCTGCATCCCATATTATTGTAATATTCATACCCATCACCTGCGTGCATGTTGCTTGGTTTGGGGAATCATGTGTGGGCAATGCATTCCTTCATCGATTTCTGTTCATTATTTGTCTTTGCAAATAAACAGCGTTGTGCTTGGTTACAGCAAAGAGAGAGCAAACTCCGATACTCTTGGTGAAAGGGACTACAACTCTCATTACCAGTTAGCAAACTGATGGCAGTTGTTGCTATTTGTTGCAGTTGATCGTGCATCAGAGGTTGTCAATGAATTAATGATAGTTGGGATATATGGATGGGTGATGGTTGTTAAACGTAAAATTACTCTTTAGGTTACAACAGAGAACCAAGGATGTATTAAATATTCATTTTCAATAAAAGATATTAAAATACATACTTTGCACATTTTGTCAGAACAAACTACTGCTGGTTTATGTTTTGGATTATGCTAATAACATGTTCAGCCAATGTTTGTGTTGTACCCTCTGGGCTGCTTTTGTTAATTCATGTTACATTATTTTGGTTGTATTTTTTTTTTTGTTTGTTCATCTTGCATACTTTGAGGCATTCTTAGTAATTATTTTTTACTCTACTCAAGTCGAGAGAGAGTATTGTTTGTGTGTGTGTTTTCTAAAGTATCAAAATAACTTTAGCTTAATTAAGTGGTTGTGGTGTATTGGTCATGCCCCCCTTCCCCCAGCTGTACAGCATTCTGAAATATGTTGCCGCTTTATAAATGGCACTTATTAATAAATCAGTTTTATTAATGCCATAGCCACACCTCCCCTGGCTATGACTCCCCTCACACAGCCTCCAAACACACCTCCTGGGGGGAAAAAAGCAAACCTAATTAACTTCCTTTCCAAAATGTACTTTACAAATTGCATGGTGTGTTTAATTTAGTATTTCTTGTTTATTTCCTGTTTGCGTGTGATTAAAGTTTCATTAACAGAGCAGGAGAGAAGTACTTATAAAGTAAGCACACTGTGATCTAAAAATTAAACCTTTTTTTCTTGGAGACTGTGAATCACAGTGAGCAGGGAAGTGTATGGCTAGGGATCCGTAAACATCAGAGAATTAAGCAGTTAAAATGTAGGCGTGTGATGATACACCAAAACCTCTTCATTAAGCTAAAGTTGTTTTGGTGCTTATAGTGGCCCTTTAGTAGATCATTTGTTCAGTAGGTAAGGTAAGTATTATTCATTGTTGACTGCAACTGGGAGATGTTGAAATTCATATCTCAAATTAGCATCAATTTAGAGATGATATTTGCACAGTTATTGCAGCAGTGTAGCTGGTTTAGCAGTTTTAAAAAAAAAATTAAACTTAATATCACTAGTGATATTATCTATCTGTTCATTGTTAACCTGATTAATCACATATCTTTGTCAGCCTTTGTGAATCTGTTATTCTGCGAGGGTTCCCAAAAGTGATGGATAGTAATGTTAGCCCATAGATAACATTAAGGGCGTATGATCCAAGCATGAATGTTATGCAGTTTACTTTGTGCATTTGTTCCAGACATAGAAATTGTGTTATGTACACTACTGGAATACAAGCAGATGATATAAATGCAGTGATATTCTCCTTTTTCCAGCATTACATGGCATAAATAACAATGTGTACATAAAAATCCAATAATAATTCCTTGACTTGGTCAGTGGCCAGGCCTTATCTTTAGTATCAACTCCTATCGTCACCTTTAACTTCTGTAGTCAAACTGGTTATTTTGCAAATACCCCATGTGGTACATATACCACCTGACCCAAAACTGGGTGCAACATCTTACATGAACATCCGCACTGTCCAATTTTTATATATATATATATATATATATATATATATATATATATATATATATATATACAAATATTCAAAAATGAGTTCTGCAAAAGGTGAAAAAGACATTTCAGAGTAAATTTTTAGCAGGCATTCTCACAGAGCATTTTCCTCCCAGGTTTATTTGATTGCATACGTCTTTATTGTCATTTTCTCTTTTCTCATGTTACATGTAGTTCTCTCTATTTGTGTGCATTATCGTTCCATTTTACCCTTGCTTTCCAAGATTTTTTCTATCCCAGCATGTGTCCTTTGCAGTGTGTGATTTAGCCTATTTAAACTAATGGGATTGAATGACACATCTAACAATGATGTGTAATGTTTTAGTGTAATTTGGTGTGGAAGGAATGAACACCAGTTGCTCTAACGAACTAGGAAAATACAGAAAACCATCACCTGTAACCTGGGTACAGTGGATTTGTTTACTAGTCTTCCCTAAAAAAGATACCCAGGATTTACGGTAGATCAATGAGGAATAGCAACGTCATACATACTTCAAAACCGCCTAAACAGCTGCAGTTAATTCTAGTCCTCTCATATATGAACTGGAACTGCTACATTGACTGTCAAATTGCATCTGCTTCAAAACCTTCTAGCATACCACCAGACATGTAACCAAATAAAGAAAGATATAAAGATAATGTATAAGGCTTAGAAGAGAAATCACAATGCCCAGACGACACAGTAATGTCCAGTAGTGTTATGTACTTGGAGGAAAGCAACTTCATAGCAACCAATGTCCATCATCATCATTTAGGTTATCAAAGGGTTTTAACTATATTTGTTCATGGCGGAAAATATTGGTTTGGCCAGAACATTTTTTGAAAAAATAAATAAATACATTTTGTTTGGGACCTCCAAAATTTGCAGTACACTGATAGGTACATGTATTCACACTGTGATTAAAAAGATCACACATAAAACAAGCTTCTTTCATCTGAATGGAAATTCTGACAGTCCAGGATTTGCAGCTAGATTCTTGTCATCACATTGGATTTATTAAAACCACCGATTGCTACATTCCGAGGAGCTGAGAGAGAAAACATGTTATAACATAACTCAAAATATTTATTTTGAGATGGTGAATAAAATGATTGTGCATTATATATCAAATTAAGTCAATAAAGACGATATGCAAAAAACAATATTAATACCATTATCTGTCATCTGTCTGTCTACTCATGCTATGGTAGTTTTGTGGTTAAGAATGTTTCATCAATATGTATTTTAAGCAGGTAGTGGGGTCTTATTGTTGAATACAATTTACCTGCCCCATTGCACAACTTCAGGTGATGTGGAAATGCAATGGTTTAATTTGGTAGTCTCTTAGTATAATAAATCTCCTAAAACTTGCATACAACCTTTTTTTCTGGTGGTAGATGCAATGAAGGAATCTGCCAATGCATAGTGTTATACATACCACCCAACATCGGTGTCCTGTGATTTACCTTCCATCTCACAGGATGCTGGTGTAAGGGGCAAAAAGGGGACAGGCCAGTAATGCATTTGTTACTGGCCCCGCCTATAGGGGTGCATTCACCTGGAAAGGGTCCACACATAGAATTGACAAGCCAGTCTTACATGCATGCACTCCTTGTCAATCAGCAGGCCAGGCTACCAGTGGGGGGGTCAGTCCACCCCGGGTAGCACTTTTTGGGAGGTGGGAAGGTCCCAGCTCCCACCTTCTGAGGGAGACCTGGCAGCGGTCCTGCTCTGCTTGCTAGGTCTATGTGTGGTGCAGAGAGAGAGGGGAAGAGGCAGGGCCGGTGGAAGTGAGGTCACTTCCTGTGCTCTCCTGTCCTGCGGAGTAACAATGAAGAGCAGTCTGACAGAAACTCCAGGTAAGTTCTTCCCTGCACAGCTCCCTCCTCACTGCACCCTCACAAATCCCTCTCCCCCCTCCCTCCCCTGCACACATCCCCCTGCCTCCGTGACAGCGCTCCCTGCACACATCCCCTCTTCCCCTCCCTCCCCTGCACAGATTCCCCTGCTTCCCTGACAGCGCCCCTCCCTGCACAGATCCCCTCTCCCCCTGCCTCCCCTGCACAGATCCCCTCCCAACCCTGCACAGATCCCCTCTCCCCCTCCCACCCCTGCACAGATCCCTCTGCTAGCCCCCTCCCTGTACAAATCCCCTCTCCCCCACCCTCCCCTGCACAAATCCCCCCCTGCCTTCCTGACTGACCCCCTCTCTGCACAGATCCCCGCTCCCCCGGCCTCCATGCACATATTCCCTCTCCCCCTGCCTCCCCTGCACATATCCCCTCTCCCCCTCTGCACAGTTCCCCTCTCCCCCGTCCCCTGCACCGATCCCCTCTACCCCTCCCTCCCCTGCACAGATTCCCCTGCCTCTCTGACAGCCCCTCTTCCTGCACAGATCCCCTATCTTCCTGCCTCCTCTGCACACATCCCCTCTTCCCCTTCCTCCCCTGCACACACCCCCTCTCACCCCACCCACCCCTGAACATATCCCCCTGCCTCCCTGATAGCCCCCTCCCTGCACAGATCCCTCTCCCCCTGCCACCCCTGCACACAACCTCTCTCCCTCTCCATTTTCTGCACAGATTCCCCTGCCTCCCTGACAGCCCCTCCTGCACAGATCCCTCTCCCCCCTGCCTCCCCTGCACAGATCCCCCGCCCCCCTGCACAGATCCCCTTGCCCCTGCCCCTGACAGGCCCCTCTCTGTATAGATCGACTTTCCTCCTGCCTCCCTGACAGCCGCCATTCCTGCACAGATCCCCTCTCCCCCTGCCTCCCCAGAATCCTGCCAGTCCCCCTCCCTTCGCTGCACATATCCCTTCTCCCCTGCACCGTCCCCATCCCTCCACAGATCCCACCCCGTTCCTGCACCCCCCACACACACCCTCCCTCCCAATAAAGTATATATTTTTAAAATGTGTAAAAAATTAAATTCAGTAAGCTGTGTTTCACTCCTAAGTGTTTCTTTTCACACCAATAAAAAGCTAAATATACTGAAGCACTTCAGTAACAATAATTATTGAAAGGAACACTCTGCCCAAATGGGCAAACCCACGCCCCATAAAATCACTGTTTAGTAGATATGCCCCTAATGAATAACATGCATGAATTTTTCATGCATGTATTCATTGGGTGTATTGTGACGAGAGCAATCTCGCAACATTGCATTGGA